GGCTGCCATGCCAGGGCTGCTCTTGAGGCTTTCGGGGTTCTTGGCACTCCCTGATGTCTCGTGCTTCACTGGGCTCAGGGGCTCCTCCCCTGAGCTCGGCTCACTGCCTCGAAGATTTGCGTTGGTTTCCTCGCACACTTCACACCCGCAGGACTTGCCAACATTGAAGATGTACCAAGATCCCATCTCCTTCACACAGGAAAGGCCACAATTGCAGTACACAAAGTTGTGCCAAGTCGTGTTCGAGCTTGGAGATGCTGCTAGAGGAGCAGCTTGCTCGTTTTGTGCTGGCACTGGCAGGGCATCTTCAGCGGCAGCGGCCAGAAGCAACAAGGAAAGAATGCGAAGGGCCATGACGCACTTTGAAACTCAAAGTTCTTGAAGAGCCAAATGCTGAAACTTGCCAAGAGAACCATGAACCCTACATGGTTGGCAATCCCTCAAGCTCCTCAAAGGGTAATAGAGGAAATGCAGCAACTATCTGCTATCTATACAATGTATACATATATATATATGTACATATCGTCAGCCAGGTACAGCAAAGCCACACCCACAAAACGTCTCAGATTTGGAAACAAAGCAAATCCGCCCTTACCCAAGGGTGAGCCCTTTCCTCGATAGATATGAAAATCGACACGCCCGAGCCTGTCTCGGGATGACCAGGAAAAAACAGTGCCCCCACAGAAACTCTTTTCGAACCGTGGCCACCTTCACACCCCACGCAGCCCAAAACCACCCGCAGCCAGTCTCACCTTGGACCCATGGCCCGACCTTCGATTGGGCTCCCGTCGCGGCACCCGTCGCTGCGCGAGTCTTTCGCCCACTCCAATGCCGCCGAAAAAGGTCGATTCCGCAGCGACGTCCTCCTGTGGCTTGTAGCCAAAGCCATCTCGTCCATAGTCATAAAATTCGTCGGCTTTTCCAAAGATGTGCACCTCGCGAAGTGAACCAGTTCCACACGGAACCAGAAGAAAGAATTGGAAGAATTGGTACTGTACCTTTTGGCCTGAAATGCTTCCAGGACAAATCCCACAAACACCTGGCTTTAGAACCGTGGTGAAGCCAACCACCGCCTCTTATCATTCAATCCTTCCAGCCAAAACACGAGGTCAACAGTCGCCAGAACGGCCGCACCGTTCCGCACTCAAGAAAAACCCAGAAACCTCAGAATCTCTTCCTCGCCCTCCGTCCGGGGCTCCCGGCGGTGGGATGCGGCGAAGGCGTCTCGAAGAGGTGCATGTAGTCCTCACTCGAGGGGTCCACGGCTGCCCGACGGGAGCGACCGCGTTCTGGGCCGGGGCCGTTCCACCGCGGGGCGACCGAAAGGAAGACCCGAAATCCAAGCACCGTTCGCCCAAGTAGCTTCTTGATCCTTGTTACTAGTAGCTAAGACTTGACTGCTGGCAGACATACTGGGCGCGCACCTCACAGCACCCCCGAAGCCACCCATTTGGTCACCCAGAACCCCCCGAACGACGCGACGGTGGGACGATTGGACTGACGTCGCTCGGAGACCCTTCGAGATGCCGCTCCTGGTCCCGGATGTGCATTCCATTGAAGAAGACCTGAGGACGATTGGCGCACGCGGTCGGTCGGATGATTGGTGGCACAGCTGTTGGGTTTGTCATGCCCAACTAGGTGTTGAAACCTTCTCAAGTACCGTTGAATGAAGAAAGAAACATCCTGCATTGGCAATGCAGGAGATATGCATCATCCAACTAGTTCAACTTACCCGGTTCGACAGCTTCCCTGCTCTGGGCATCGCTCAAGTACAAGACACCAACACTTCACCACCGATAGTAACTAAACTCACACCCTTGCCTTCTCTCCTCATGAACCATTGTTCACGCCTGGGAAAAGTTCTCAGAACGTTAAGGGACAATTTGCTTAGTGGAAGGTCTCCGGCATGCGCTCCATCTCCACACAAGATCCACCTAGATACCACATCTCAGACCCAGTCAACCCAGACTGTCGCTCGCACCAAATAGCTGCAAGGCAAGCTCAGACCAAAATGGTAGAAATGACATTAGACACATCATGATAGTCTAAACGGGCGTGCCTTTCCCCAAGTGGCCATTTTGTGGGAAAGGTAATATCGATCCGTTTGCGTTGAAATCACGTCAACCTGGTGCAGCACATCTCACATCTTCCACATCCAAGCATCGCTCAGGCGCCAGGGCATCTCCTCCGGGGAATTCCGTGTGTGGTGCCACCGCTTCGCCTCGCACGCCAAAAAGCGGCCCGTGTTGCGCTGTTGACTGTTGATTAGCTTAAAAGAATTGATGATAATAATAACAATAACGATACAGAGTACTAGAACCTGCAGATGTTCTACCATCTGTAGGTAGGATTGTTCTATTCATCAACTGCTACCCATGATTGGATCAGATCCCATCACTTTCTGAGCCCACCCTCAGGGCGGGTCGTCCGTGCAAACCCGAGTGCCCCTTTGGCAAGAGGACCCTCTCCTCTAAAGGCACCGGAGAGATCAAAGATCAAACACTCTTACAGCAATTCGCAATTTGCGTCCTTTTCAGAAAATTCAAAAAAACATAAGAAGAAAACAGTATATACAGAATGTCCTTTTGTATTTCTGGACTTTCGAAAGCTTCGCGATCGAGCGACCGACTGGCCTTCTGTGCTGAAGGATCCTC